TTGGAAGGTGTTACATAGGGTGTTGATTCATGGCAAGAATCTACTTCCTAGTATCATCCACAGACTGCTAATAATAATCGTAATTTAACAATAGGACATCTATGACTGAGGTCGTTGGAGGGAGCATGTATAAATGAGTACATAAAGATCTACCTATGAATGCAGAATTCTATAGAAATGATTCACTCTTCAGAGACATTTTATATTGTAATTATCAAAACTGTCATTCTTTTTTTTTTTTTTTATAAATGGAAGTACTGTATTTCTATGAATGTTGTCTGGTAAATAGCATTATGTCAGGATAACTGTACCTAAAATTATATGCAAGATGAGGCTTTATGAAATGACACTGATATGAAATATCAATTTGTCCACTGCAGTAGACTGCATTCTTCATTTATTGTACAGAGTAGAATTATAACATAATGTCTGTTAAAAGGTAATCAAGTCATTAATGTCCTGTAATTAGTTAATAAAATATAACAGTTATTTACAATCGTAAAAGTTTTTAAAAAAATTTAGATATTAGTATGTGTGTTCCTGTAGGTTTTTTTTTAAACATTTTTATTTTTAGTTCAATCAGTGAGGTTGACCATTAGCTCATAAGGACATGCTGTATATGGTATATTATGCATTCCTTCTGTTTAAATCAACATCAAGCAATACAAATGATTTACTTACTGTATGTGCCCAATTTTGAGTCTATATTTTAATGTGCACACTCCCCTTCCCAGGCTTTCTTGCACTCCCATATAACAATTACTAGATTGTGTGTTTTTTTTCTCTAGGAAAATAATACATTGCTTCAAGCAGCAAGTTCTTGTTTTAGCAGAAGCAGACTGTCTGGCAGGAGAAAAAGACCCAGACAATGGAATTATTGCACTGTCAGCCTTGGTAAGCTTACATTACACATCTCCTGCTTGGCTGTATGCTGCCTGCTATCTAGTGCTGCTGTCTGCCCCTGTAGGTGAGCCCCTTTCTCTATGCTTTCTGGTGGTCTTGCATACTCCTTGCATCCTTGTCTTCCACTGCACAATGTAACAGAACCGGACGCAGACCGCACTTGGGTATTTCCGTTATACTCCAGCTTCCCTGTCCGAACACAAATCCACGGACACCACCGATGATCATGCAGGAAATAGACAGCATCAGATTCTTCTTAAGACAGGAAGTCAACTGCTTTATTTTTACACAAACACAAGATATATACACAGGGCGAGGAAATACAACCAGAAACAGGAAACACATCATCAGGCCCTCCCAGCAGGGGGAAGGGCTGCAGGAAACACCCCCCCACCAAACCAAGACACAGAACAATGGGATGCAGCACATGACAGTGAACAATGAACGATGGAACAACCACATGGCAGTGAACAATGGACCAACCACATGGCAGTGAACAATGGACAACCCCCACACCCATATTAGAACATTTCGCCCTGTACCCCCTAACAGGCACAGGGTGCCTTAGACATAAGAGGGATTTGGGAAGATGATACAGGGGTCCCCACATCCCCAAAAATCACTCCCGTCACACACAACATCTGCATCCACCCCTCTGAACTACTCAGATTGTGAGATTGTGGGTCTCAGGTTCTGTCCCTCTTCTCTAACATTTACTCACATTCCTTGCCTGGCACACATCCTCTACCTAGTAGTGCAGTGGTTCCTTTTTAGGCACATACAGTAAGTAAATCATGGTTTCCATGATATCCTGTGGCAGGCCAGAAGAGCCTGCCTGCACCCACTTCAGATGACCATACACAGCAAGTTCACCTGGCAAAAATTTTGTGTAAACACAAACTTTCCAACTGCCTGATATGAGATGCTGCCATGCACTGGAACTCAATGGTGGCCATTCTGCAGTGACTGCACTTGCAGTAGTGGGCTGTTAATGAGTATTTAGGTGATTATGGTGCAAGGACAGGTTCTAATGATCTGGGTTTTATTTATCGCATTAGTGGCTCTGATTCAGGACAAGTGCACCAACCTGTCACTGTTCAAAGAGGAGTCCAGAATGGTGAGCCCCCAGTGAGGTAGGGATTAGTGACACACTCACTTTGGCCTTTCTGCTGGAGCACACCCTGCCTTATGATAGACCGAGCACTAGAGGAACAACAACAGCAGGAGGAAGAGGAAGTCTTTTTGGGGTGTCATAACCTATGGGATCCTTACACAACCTGACTCCATCCCCATGAAGAAACAGCAGACAAACAAGCACAAGGAGGGAAGGGTTAGGGGGCTAATGGTAATGAGGAAGAGGACATGGGGCTATGGCCTACTTTTACCAAACCCTGTAAATTATACATGAGTAGGGTGATATTTTTAAAGGAAATTGTCCGTAGTGGGTTTCTCTGCCACTGGAAATTTTGTACTCTTTAATGCTGAAATGCCTGCCCAACAACCTCAGGATTCAATCCATTAAAGAGAGAAACCCTTACTGGTTGGCTGCCCTTTTGGATCCATGTTACAAGGAGAAAAAAACATACCTCACCTTGTCATCACAAAGGGAGCTAAATATGCACAACTTGGGAGAGGTGCTGCTGAAGAACCCCTTAAAAGCCTTGCAGAGAGTGGCAGTGTCCCCATTCATGGCCCATGTGTGAGGTTTTTACATCTTTCATTACATTGCATAGGCCAGACATGGTAGCAGAAGTCACAGGCAGAACCAGAACCATATGATTTCATATTGTATGTGGTCAATGGTGGATGCAGGTAACCTTAGAACAGATGACCCCCTGGACATTTGGTTGTCCAGGATAACCCACTGGCCTGAGCTTTCCCAGTATGCAATTGAGCTACTGGACTGCCCTATAGGAGGTGTGCTTTCAGGGTGGCCATTTAGTTCAGTAGGTGGTTTTATGACAGAAAAAAACATTCACCTTTCTTTAGACACAGTTGGCCTTTATCAATACAAACCGGTCCTGCATCTGCTATAAGTACCAATCCCCTGCAGCTGATTTTATACATTTTGTCTTTAAATCTGGCTTTGAAAACACTTTTATACAATACAGCATTATCATCTCCTGCCATTGCTCTGCCACCATTACTATTCTCTGTCTCTGCTGCTGGCCTGCACCAATACCATGCTGCAGGACTGCCAGTATTACCTTCTCATGTTGCCTCTATAGCCCTGTACTGTATCTTTGTTCTAGCTGTCAATGTGGTACATATACTGGGGAATTAAGCAAAATCCTGACAACAGTTTTCTGACAGTACTATTTTTAGTTTTAATTTAAGCAAACATTTGCACCAGTTTTTGGTAACATTATCAACATGTGAGGTAAACTCAGGTAATTCTTACTGTGGCCACATTTTGAATAATGCTTCGAATTGCAGTGACAATATTTTTAAGAATTACTGCCAGTTCTCAAATTAGTACACTGGTGGTAATTACGACCAGCTCTGAAGTGGCATGCAGAGGTATGCCAGTACTCAGAGTGGGCTGTGTCTTTGCTAGCAAGCTGCCATGCACTGTATGTGACAGCTTCCTGCACAATGTTGTATTACCTGTCCCATTCAACTGTTGACCAGTAGATTCCCCAGCTGAAAAGTAAATGTAAGCAATTTATCTCGGGATGCATGTGCTCACATTACCCAAATATTGCATTGCAAAATAGTGCTTGGCCCTTGCAAAATTCTACAGGATTCCAGGACACTTTGTGAATCTCTCCTACAGTGTTTTCACAGCTGAAAAATATTGGCTTTTTTTTTTTTTTTGCAGAGTCAATCAATTATGTAGTGCTTTGAAACTATCAAGGTCCAATATATAATGCTTCTGTACATGCTCTTTGTTTCCTATTTCTTGGCTTATTCTGGTGCTATATGAATCAAGTATTATAACATGAGGCTTCCAAGAAAGTGATTAAAATTGTGCTAATACAGTGTGTACTATGTTCCTTCCAGGAAGGCTAAACAGGAATGTGTGTTAACTAATGAGATCTACACAGAAATGCTCCATGTCTTGTAGTGTATTCATTCATTTGTTTTGATGAAAAACATATAGAGCAAACTTTGTTTTTTTGACCTCCAAAGCTAAATAGGAACATGTTTAAGGCAAAAAATATAGAAATTTGCTAGGTGCCACATTATAATTCCATTTTATTATGGAAAATATAAACTTTGCATTTTTTGGCCATCCAAAGCTAATGGGGGATGTTAATTAGCATTACAGCAATGCCATGTAGACCTCACTGGCTAATGATGCTGTCTGTAGTATATTAATTCTTTTTTAACCAGATAAATATAAACTTTTGTTTTATGACTAGTCTAAATTGGGATGTGTTTTTGGCAATGAGACAAGAAATTGTAGAAATACTATGTATATTTTGTGAATCTTATTACTTCTATTTTAATCTAAGAAGGGTAAACTTTACAAAGCTAAATGAGGATGTGATTAAGGTAATGAAGTGAACAAGAATTTGTAGAAATAATACATACATATGCACTGTGTAGCATGCTATTATTATTTTAATCAGAGAAATAAAACATTAATTTTTTATCCTCCAGATCTAAATGGAAAACTGTTTGCCAGTAATATCTAAGAGAAATTTTTAAAATATTACCTGCAGTGTAAGCAGTGTGCACAGTATTCCCTGTTCTTTTAGTGCAAAAACACACACACTTGATTGTGTATATTTGGCCAGAACAGCTGCATTTATTGTATCATTTTTAAAATGTGGCCTACTTTAACTTATGAAGTGCTGTTTATGTAGTCTGTACAATAGTTCTTGTTTCTTGACATATATACTTAAATGTGTTTTTTTCGAATGAAAAGATGTAAGTTGTATTTCCTTTTCAAAATATGGCCTACTCCAATTGCTTAAATGTTGACTATGGAGCCTGTGTAATATTTCTGGCTTTGTTTCAGAAATAATACACTCTAAATCCTATTTAACAGCTTCCGTGCCACCCTATAGCAGAAATGCTGCTACAGGGTGTCACGGGTGTGCAAAATCACGTTGCGGCCTCGGATGTCAATCACTGGGTCCCGGCCGGTGATTTTTCGCCTGCCCCCAGTGATTGCCGAGTATCTCCGATGGGGTAGAGACCTGAGTATAAACAACACAGATCTCTCTCCTGTCAGCTCCTGCATATTGCTTTGTATGGCTCTGCTTAGCAGAGCCATTCAAAGCAGTAGGATTACAGTGAAACACAGCACACTTAGTAAAATACACACAGCACACAGTTAACCCTTTGATTGCCCCACATGTTAACAACTTCCTGTCCAGTGCCATTAGTACAGTATCCTTGCTTTTTATTAGAACTGATCACTGTATTGGTGTCACTGGGAATGTCAGTGACACCAAGTCAGTTCCCCCAGTGTCATAAGTCCTGCCATAAGTCGCTGATCGCCCCCATTACTAGTAAAAAAAAAATTCCAGTATCTATACCGTCATTTGTAAACGCTATAACTTTCACGTAAACCAATTAATTTTATACAAATTGGGATTTTTTTTTTAGCAAAGACGTAGTGGAATACATTTTGGCCTAAATTTATGACGAAATGTGATTTTTTTACATTTTTACTAGACATGTTTAATAGCAAAAAGTCAAAAATACTGTTTCTTCTCAAATTGTTGGTCTTTTTTTGTTTATAGCGCAACAAATAAAAACCGCACAGGTGATCAAATACCACTGAAAGAAAGCTCCATGTGTGGGGAAAAAAATCCGTAAATTTAATTTTGGTGCAACGTTGCATGACCGCACAATTGTCAGTTAAAATAACGCAGCGCCGTATCACAAAAACTGGCCTGGTCAGGAAGGGGGGGGGGGGTAAATCCTCAGGAAGGAAAGTGGTTAATGATAACCTGTCTTGTCTCTCCCTCTTACACTGTGACCTGGTAAAACTGCTTAGATAATGTGCAGTATTTCTGTGCAATAGTTTTGGCTGCTGTCTCTGACATAATTAACAGTCATTTTTATTTCACAATAAAACCTCCCTTCTCCTCTTAACCACTAGGGGACCACCCACAGTACATATAGTGCGGCAAAGCGGGCCCTGTGCGCAGGATCACATTTATAAATGTCATCTTGATTTTAGGGTAGGGGGCACACGCGTGGCACGCAACTGCCCTACCCGCGGCAACGATCGCGGCCAAGGGTGTCAATCACCAGGTCCCGGCCAGTGATTACCAGCCGGAGCCTGGCGATTGCCGGCAAACACTGACAGGGAGCAAAGCTGCATTGTTTTCAATGGAGCTCTCCTCCCTGTCAGTTTTCAGCACACTGTTCCGGATTGCTGAGTGAAGTACACACACCCCGCCCCCTAGTAAAACACTCCGCTCACACAGTTAACCCTTTGATTGCTTTTAATGTTAACCCCTTCCTCCCCAGTGCCAATAATACAGTGTCAGTGCTTTTTTTTTGCACTGATCACTGTATTGGTGTCACTGGGGATGTCAGTGACCCCAAGTCAGTTCCCCCCCAGTGTCAGAATGTCCACCGCTATTATTAGTATACAAAAAAAAATCCATTATCTATACCACCATTTGTAAACGCTATAACGTTCACGTAAACCATTTAATTACACGTATTGGGATTTTTTTTAGCAAAGACATGTTGCAGAATACATTTTGGCTGAAATTTATGACAAAATTTGATTTTTACATTTTTTTACTGGACATGTTTTATAGCAAAAAAAACAAAATATTGTTATTTTTCTCAAAATTGTCGGTCTTTTTTTTTATAGCGCAAAAAATAAAAAACGAACAGGGCAATCAAATACCACCAAAAGAAAGCTCAATTTGTGGCGAAAAAAGGACATAAATTTCATTTGGGTGCAGCATTGCATGACCACGCAATTGTCAGTTAAAGTAACGCTGTGCCATAACACAAACCACTTCTGTAACTGCCTTCTCTAAAGTAGAAATACTGCTACAGGGCGGCACTGGTTCGCAAAATCACATTTCATCCCTCCCAAATCGCTTTGAAATCTCCAGGCTCCAGGTTCCAAAGTGGACCTTACAAACAAATGAGGAAAGTGAAAAGTCACTTTCCTCTGTATCAAACACTTATCCTGGAGCCCCTCAACCTGCCTTGTTGAGAATCCTGGGTTAAATATCCTTTCAACATCGTGACAGATCGCCACACTGTCACAGTATATACAGTATATATAGATATATTTACATATATATATATATATACACATGATTCATGCTCCTGTGGTTTTCACCCCCCTCCCATATAGCGTCAGATTACCTGTCAGTACACCAGTAATCACATTTACCCCTTGATTGCCAGGTACACGCTCATACACAATAAACCTCCATTGCTAGTATAGTGTCTGAACGGATCAGTATCTTTGGTCAGGTCAGCACTAAAGCAGCGTTCACATTAGTATAGCATCCCCAAAAACGCAGCATTAGTGGGATCAGCCCCGGCACCTGCCAGCACCTGCGTTTAGCCCCTACGCTTACCTTCCCCTTCTCCCCCAGCAAGTGCAGTGTCAGTAGGTCACTGTCACTTGATACATTGCATACAAAACCGCAGTGTTAGTAGATCAGGCCTGATCTCTGTTAGCACTTGCCGGTAAATTTTGATGACTCTCATATGCAGCAGAGTGCCACGCTACCTTTTCGTGAACTGGTGAGCACCAGCAGCCTGGTACATCCTGGTCTTTCACATACCAGCACTGCAGTATCACTTGGTGACGTGGCGAGTCCCATAAGTGCAGTACAAGCTGGTGTGGTGGCGTGCACAAGTATTATCCCGCTACCACCAAAAATTTGCACACATGCCTGTAGAGCCCCTAGTATCCTTCCGGATGTGCTTGCAAATCCCGATTGGCACACCACAAATTCTGCAGCACCCGTACTTCCCCCATTCACTACCCAACCCATAATTCAGGTGGAAACAGCAAATGTAACTACTCCCCTTGATTTTTTGGAGCTGTTTTTCATGGAAGATCTGTATGCATTGATTGTGGATTTTATTGCTGTCAACCCAGATACCCAAACCTTGCCAGACCATTCGTAATGGATAACCATTACGGTTTCCAAATTAAATTTTTTTTTTTAACCTAACCCTCAACATGGGCATTACAAAAAAAATTAATTGCGGTTTTATTGGTCCACAGACCAGGTTCATCATATGCCCGTGTTCTCTGCTGCCATGGCCAGGCATAGATATGAGAGTATAATGTGGTTTATGCATTTCAACGACAATACACTCTGTCATCCTCGAGATGACCCTGAATTTGACTGGCTCCACAAAATTCCACCCCTCGTAAATCACCTTAACCAAAAATTTGCAGATGTCTATACTCATCTGCATTGATGAGTCCCTCATTAATTTTTCTGGCCACCTTACATTTAAACAATTCCTCCCCAGCAAGCATGCCAGATATGGGGTCAAGATGTATAAGGCCTGTAAGAGGGCAACAGGCTATACATATAAGTTTCAGATTTACGAGGGAAAAGATCGTCACGTGGAGCCCTCCGGATGCCCAGACTACATGCGGGGCAGTGGCAAGATAGTTTGGGACTTGGTGTCATTCTTTTTTTCCATATGGGGTACCACTTATTCGTGGACAATTTTTATTCAAGAGTGCCACTATTTAGACATTTGTACAATCTTTTTTTTTTCAGTCGGCGATCGGCTTTCATGTAAAAGCAATCCTAGTGGCTAATTAGTCGGGGGAACCTGAGAATGCAACCAGTGTTTCTGCCAGCTGACCATAGAGCTGATTGGAGACCAGAATGGTGCCATTCATCTCTACAGCCTAAGAAATCGGAAGCTACGAGCATTTCATCACTTCAGTTTCGCAGGATATAAACAGCACTATTTGTAATTTGGGAAAGCATCTGATCACACTGATCTTGGTTTGATTAGATAATGTAAGGGCAGAGGAGAGATATAGGGGTTTATTTACTAAAGCTGGAGAGCGCAAAATCAGACTCACTTCTGCATAGAAACCAATCAGCTTCTAGGTTTCATTGCCAAAGCTTCATTGAACAAGCTGACGTTAGAAGCTGATTGGTTTCTATGCAGAAGGGAGTCTGATTTTGGACTTTCCAGCTTTAGTAAATAAACCCCATAGAGTCTGATAGACCCCAGATTTCTCAAAAAAGAATATATGACAATGCCCATTGAAGTTAAGGGGATATTTGCATTCCCTGTGATAGCATTAAAAGTGATTAAAAAAAAAAAGAAGCTGCAGCATGACGCAGTAGCGCATGGTTGGGAGGCTACGGACACCGGTCTGCTATCATGGAAGTGATGCCCTAACCCTGCAAGGATCTTACCTCGTTCCTGGGAAAGAGAGTGTGGGGCCCCCGGGTGTTTCTTGCCCTGGAGCTTCTCGGTGCCCATGGTGCGGCGTGGAGCGATGGTGGTGCTGTGTGCGAGCGGTGCGGGAGTCCAGTCCTGTGTGGGCTTGGAGCTGGAGAAGGGAAGTGATGAAGGACAGGCTACCCCAGACACTGCCTGAGAATCGGAGGAGTGCCAGACGCAGGTCGGAAGGGGAGCGGCAGCGATGAGTGTGGGGCGAGTCCCCAGATACATAGAGTTGGACACTAGCTGGACATATCATGGATAAAGAAGCTGGTGATGAGTACCCAGAATTGGGCCATTCAAGGGCGTGTAGTAAGAAATATCCAGTATACAGCACACACTTAAGGAAAAAAGTAATATACAGAAGATCTATATCAAATCAAATCTGATATAATAGATGTTCACTATACCCTAAATAACAGGACCACAGTAAGCGCTAAAAAACAGCAGACTCATCAAATCTCACATAGCAGATCGGCGCCAGGTACTATATATTGGACTAGTATCAAGGACTATACAACAGAACTGTACCAAATCTTATGCAGCTGAGCAGCATCAAGCACCGTACAGCAGACCCGCACTAAGCTCCAAACAGCAGACATATATCAAACTACTTATAGCAGACCTGCACCAAGCTCTATATAGCTGATTATTGACAAGCAGTGCACAGCAGACCCGCACCAAACTCTGAGCAACAGATCTATATCAATCTTATACAGCAGACCTGCACTTTACGTTCATCAAAGTACTATACAGCAGACTCGGACCAAGCGCTGAACAGTAGATCCATACCAAATTTATACAGCAGACTTGCACCAGGTTTTATACAGCTGACTCACGCCAAGTACCATACAGCTGATTAGTATCATACATATATATAAAACAGACTTACGGAAGTCCTATACAACAGACCCATATTGGTTTAATATCGTAGATCT